ACAGAGAGAGACAGAGCATGAACGGGGGAGGGTCAGAGAGAGGGAGACACAGAATCTGAAACAGGCTCCAGGCTCTGAGCTGTTAGCACAGGGCCCGACGCGGGGCTCGAACTCATGGACCGCGAGATCATGACCTGAGCCGAAGTCGGCCGCCTAACCGACTGAGCCACCAAGGCGCCCCTAAAGTTAAGTTTTAAAGTAATAATTATGCTTACAAAAGAACATAAATTAGCATGTGTGCTGTTAGTAAATGTCTAATATGTCACAACCTACATAATTGGCTTTGACCTGCAAAGATGGTAACCATACTCATGAAGCTTCAAATGGTGACTTTATCTAGGAAACTCACATATTGTATTTCTCACAACTCTAACAGGTAACAGCCAGAAGATGTTAACTAGCAATTGTGAAACTAAAAATGTTATCAGCAACAAGCTCTTTCAGTATCATCAGAATGTACTCAGCCTTTCTTTCCTGGACATTATCATAGAAACACATGATTCAAGCAATTCACACACACACACACCCCACCCCCACACACATAATGAAAACCTAAGATGTTGACTGATAGATGAATGACTCACCTCCTCACTCCCCAAAAAGTAAAACAACCTTCAATTTTTTTGAGAAAAAGCCTTAAGAGGAGAAACTAACCCTTCATCCCCTACTTACTTGACAGCTATTGGCTAATATAACTAGAAAAGACAGAAATGCCTCACTCCTTACGTTTTTAAAAATATATACTTACTCCAAATAAGGACTTTATTAGTAAATTAAAGAGGGTATTTGAGGAAGACAATACATTACAAATACATTTTTAAACTTATTTTTAAAAGTGCCACAACACATATGATTACCCAAAGAATCTTCAAAAATCTATTTTGAGGAAAAAAAGCAAAGAATCTTTATTTCCAAGCCAACAAGCTAAAGTGAAGGTTTGGCCATACAGATAAAAAGGAACCTTAACTTGATCTAGAGCAAATCCAAACAACAGCCAGGCCCTTGAAAACTAAAACAAGAAGGTAATTAAGAAAACTGGAGAATGAAAATGCACTGCCTACTGAAAGTTTGTGCTTGCTTAAGCAGCTTTAAAAACTCTTGCCTTTGTTAGAAATTACTTCAGTGCAGTGCTTTAAGTTAAGTATGTTTTAATTCTCAAAAAAAAAATTTTTGTTTTGAGAGAGCAAGCAAGCGAACAGGGGAGGGGCAGAGAGGGTGAGACAGAATCCAAAGCAGGCTCTGCACTGTTAGCACTGAGCCCTATGAGGGCTCAAACTCACAAATGGTGAGGTGAGATCATGACCTGACCAGAAACCAGGAGTCTGACTTAACCGACTGAGCCACCCAGGCGCCCCTATGTTTTAATTCTTAAAGTAAAATTTTCAAAGTGATTCATAAAGTAAGAAGCATGATTTATAGCAAAACCTCATTTTTCTAAGATTAGTAAGGGAGAGAGGGGTGCGGGTGTATTTTTTATTTCTCCTGATCCCCATTAATACTATGGTTTGCAGTTTCTCATACCCTGATTGGGCAGCATTGGTGCAAACCCCACAGAAAGGGGGGATTAAACAGAGCCGGCTCTTGGACTCTCAGAATGGGAAGAAGAAAGTAGTAATGAACTCACTACCTAGAGCTCCTTTGCACTTTGTCCCTTTGCATACAAGGAAGGTGTGCTCCAGGCTGTGAAGCAACCATACTTCTACCAATGGAG